ATCCGCTTCTTCCCCACTGCCAACAGACTGCTTAACTATTGAAAAAACAAAAATTAAGTCACAAACCCTGCATCATACTAATAACACTAAACCAAAATACTTAATATTTGCACCATATATATTAATGCTCTGACCTTCCATATCAATGAGTCTTCGCACCATTTTTTTTTTCTCGCACACTGATCACTGCTGCACTTTATGGACTGGAAATTGTCATTTCAAGCTGCTGCAGTTCTCTAAGTCTAAATTAAAGATTTGTTTCTTTATTCAGCCAGGCTGTGTGATTTAACCTAGCAGCTCTTCTCTTAACTGTCAGAAACTGCTAAAATGATCATAAAGCATAAGTGTAAAAACTTACTAAGGTTGTTTTGAACAGTTTACATCTTCCATAACCATCAGGTTATAAAGTCTTAGAGCTGCTGGGAGGAAAGATCTATGATAACACTCCCTGGTGCATTTAGGGTGCAGCAGTCTGTCATTGAAGGAGCTTTCCAGTTTAGCAACAGCTTCATGCACGGGGTGGTAGACATTATCCAACAGAGATGTAAATTTAGTTACGATCCTTTTGTTTTCCACCTTCAGCACAGAGTCTAGAGGGCATCCAATCACAGAGCTGGCCTTCCTGATCAGCTTATCCAGCCGCTTTCTCTCAGCTACATATAAGCCACTGCTCCAACAGACGGCTCCATAAAAGATGGCTGATGCCAAAACAGAAGAAGAAGGTCTTTAAGGGTGCCCCTGCATTCCAAAAGATCTTAGTCTCCTCACGATGTTCACCACTGTCAGGGGAGTGGATCGGCTTCTGCAAAAGTCCACCATTAGCTCCTTGGTTTTCCGTCAAATTATCCAGGAGATGGTTCTACTAGCACCAGTCCACTGGTTCCACTGTCTGTACTCCGAAGTGTCTCCACCTAACCCCCAGATTCCACATACTCCGTCAGCGCTCCGCCCCGCTGACGTACGTCGTGCAGAGCTCTTGTCTTTCATGTAAATAAATGAGAGCTGTTCCAAATCCACTGCTACTCCTCCACACGTCTCCATCCACGTACGTCTTCTCCGTCCTTCACCGCCAAAATACGGAGCCAAGCTATTTTAAGATCCGCTATTGCAATTGCACCAAACAGGAAAAAGAACATCGAGAAATTCCGTTTCGTCAAATTAAAATATAGTAGCAACAGATCGGTAACTAGAAATTATAGCATAATTCTTAAGAAAATCTACAACTAAAAAAAATATTTGTGCAGAAACTAAACATATGCTGGATGATGGTGGGATTTTTTAAATATGCCATATCAAATTAAGCGTTCACAGGGTTCAGACAGGAAAGAGTGACTCTAATTGAAAGCTATTTTAATGCTATTAGAAAGGATTTTAATGCCATCAACAAGTACCATGTACACAAGTTACACAAGTTGGAGCGTACATGAAATATGGAGGCCAGCACTGTTCCCTGCGGGACCCCCGTACTTCAAACCTACCAACTGTGACACAGCCCTGTGCCATCACATACTGTGGGCGACAAGTGAGATAGTCCAAAATCCACTGGGACATGTTAGTCTGTAACAATAGGAACTAATGTTATACATATTTTGCACACAGATATGTTAGTGTTTTGGAATCAGCCTTAGCAGTGGTGCCTGACCGAACTGTTTGTAGAGTACCCACCAATTATTAATTAAGTTCTGACCCTGTTGGATTATTGTGCAACTAGGTTTGTGTATTTGAGTAAACATAAGAAGAGAAAGAACAAGAATAAAACATGGTGGCAGCAGTGTGGAGTCAGTCTGGATCACAGTGATTAAGATAGCACCACAGTTGGTGTCACCTAGCATTAGCTTCGGCTAGCTGGAAGAGTGACTACTGCACGGCAACATGGATGGGCTAAAGCCACCACAGACACTAACTCTGGATCCCAGCGACATTGAAAAGACATGGAAGAGCTCTAGAGACGACTTTCTGCTGTATATGGGCTAAACGATGGCTTGAGCAAATGACGAACGGGAGGTACAACTCTTCAGTTATCTAGTCGGCAACATGGGCAAAGACCTTTTGAACACCCTAAGGGGAGATACAGCTACTGCTGATTGGAGGCTCAAGAAAATTATGAAATTTGATGACCATTTTAAGCCCAGCACAAATGAGACTGTGGAAAGATATTGTTTTTTTTTTTTGTAGATATCAGGGTGTCAGCGAGAGCATTGACAGCTACGTCACAGAGCTAAGACTGCTAACTAAAATGTGCAACTTCAGAACATCGAGGGATTTGTTGATTCAGGACAGGATTGTGTGTGGAGGTAGCAATGCAGGCATGAGAAAATGACTGCTTTATGAGGAAAAACTCACACTTGACACGTGTCTGCAGTCTGCACAGCTGCTGAACTGTCCAAAGATAATGTGGAAAAAAAAAATCGCCAGCTCAGTCACATAAAAGGTGAATGGTGTTCGAGGAGCTCAGTTCCAGTTTAAAGAAAGCAAAACAGTGCTGAACCATTTTGTAGCAAGAGGTAAAGCAAAAATGGACCAGAGAAGCCACAAACATGTAAGTAAAATAATGACAGAATGTGTAAACGATGAATAGGAAGATATTTCCTGTCACAGTAATAGAGATGGAGAAAAGTGGATGCTTTGGGGACAGAGAGTACTAAAGATAAAGACGTGAAACATTGAAAAGAGACAGACACAGTTAAATTCTTTCAGCTTCTTTATGCAGGCATGCTGCTGGTAAATGACACAGTCCAATTCCAAATAAACTGTCGGGATAGTTGCAACATTATTCCAATCAACCTGCTAAACCCAGACATCCAGCTGGGAAAGACTAAAAGTGTGGTTGTTATTTACAACAAAACAAGATGAGATCCATAAGGAGATGTAAAGTTAAATTACGAAAACCCAAGAAACAACAAACTTTACCGCTTAGAGTTCCAAGTGTTAAATGGAGATGATGCAGCACCTTTATTTGGGAGGAGAGCCAGTGAGGCAATGAATCTGATTAAAGTGCAGTATGAAAACATCATGACTATTGTTAGCACAGTTACGATTGCAGAAAAACCCAGAACAGGACCTTGGTCTATGGAGGAAATCAAGGCAACGTATGCGGATGTGTTCAGTGGAGATGATTGTTTAGAGAGGAAACACAAGATGGAGATCGACAGGACAGTAAAGCTAGTGGAGCTACCAAAGAGATGTGTTCCAGTGGTTTTAAGGGAGAGCTACAGGATCTGCACGATTGAATAATTACACCTGTGGAAAGCAATACAGACTGGATTAGCGCAGGATGGTGGTCATACTAAAACAAAAATGGCAAGCCCAGGGTATGTATTGATCCCTTGTCGAAAGCCAAGGAGTTCACAGTATGTGATGTCAAGAGTGGATTTCCATTCGGTCGGTATAGATGGCTGAGGATGACAATGGGAATAAGTACTGTCCCAGAAATATTTCACAGAAAACTGATGCAAGTGCTGGACAACCTGCCTGGACTGTACATCATAGCTGGTGACATTTTGATAACAGGGCAGGAAGAGACAGATGAGTAAGTGGAGCAAGATCGAAAAAATAAAAATAAAATTGAATGTGGAAAAATTTAGAGTAAAACAGAAGACTATATACATTGGACATCGCCTGACTGCGGACGGACTCAAACCCGACCCAGAGAAGGTCCGTGCGGTGGAGCAGACACCTGCTCTGACAGATGTAAAATCAGTGCAGACTGATAGGTGTGGTTAATTACCTAACCAAGTTCTGCCGGCATCTGTTTGATCACTGCAAAGTGTTAAGGGACCTGACACACAAAGATAGTGTGTGGATCTGGAATGCAAAACAAGAGGAGGCATTTCGTAATCTGAAAAAGGCAATAACAAATGCCTCTTGAAATACTATAGACTGTAGATGGGCAAGCCAGTCACTTTTGCTAGCACAACACTTACAATAACAGAATATGGCTATGTTCAAATAGAAAAGGAGTTTCTAGCAATGGTTTTTGGCTTGGTTTAAGGTTCAGAGTGATCACAAGCCACTAGAAACTATAATGCAAGCTGCCAACTCCTCCACTTTGTCAGACAGACTTTGACAGCCTTTATTGTCGTTTTGTACTAACAGAGTGTACAAATAAAGACGTTTTGTTCAGTACAGCTCTCAAGACATTTCTATTTCTAAAGTGCAGCAGTGATAAAATTTAAAAGTGGTGATCAAATGTAAACAGAAGACTCGTATATGATTTACAGTTTCCAACATTCAGCCCCCTTTTTTTTAAACCCATTATATACAACATTCAGCAGTCTAATGGCACTTGGGCAGAAGCTCTTCCGGAATCTACTGGACCTGCATCGGATGCTGCGTGTTACTGGCTCGGGACATGCAGCGCTGGGATGAAATGTCTTTTATGGAGGGAAGAGGAGCCCCGATGATCTCTGCAGTTCTCACTACTCTCCTCACCTTCTTCCAGTCTATGCTGCCGCCTCCACACCACACAGTGAGACAGCTGGTCAGAATGCTCTCTATGATTCTTCTGTTGAAGGTCATGAGAATGGGTCGGGCCAGGTGGACTCGCCTCATCCTCTGCAGGAAGTGCTTCTTTGCCCATTTGATCAGTGTTGACCAGTCTGTCAACATTATTTCTATAATGTTGAGAGACTGATTGATTGATTTATTGATTGATGAGCTGTTTAATTTATTTCTGTTTGCAGGAACTGTCTATGCAGCCGGGAGATATCAGCAAAATGCTTCAATTGATATCACGGTTTGACATAGTTCCTGGATGTTTTAAAACTGTTGAATAAGTGTAACAAAACACATTACATTTTTAGCTTAAAAAGCTTTAATTATTTGCACCCCCATACAGTACCGGTAAGCTTTTCATCTGGTACATTACCGTCAGTTTCTCCTAGCAGGAGGCTCTGTGACAGAATCGACACTGTTGTATCTCCGCTGATGTTTCACAAAACTTCATGTCTAAATACTTGAATAATCCATTTAAGTTTCTTTTTGTCTTTGTGTTTCTAAAGATTGAGACAGAAAACTGTAATAAAACAGTGACTAACCTGGAGAGGATTCTGGATGACTACAGGGCAATCCGTCTGGAGAATTCTGCACTAGCTGCCAAAGTGAAAGAGGGCTAAGAGAAGGCAGTGCTCGGCCAAAAGAAAACCCTGGAGACGCAAAAGATACAGCTCTTCATCTCTAGCCCCTGACACAGAGGCTTGGTGGTCTTCGTACCATGGCCTCCCCTTTGTCTACAGACAAGTTTTGATTGTCCATCCACTGGCTGTATTATTTCTGAAATAGAACACTGAACAACAAAAGGGGGTGCCATGATGTGGTTTCAAAGGATCTTGTTTAGTCTCAAAATATTTGATACATAAACTAATATGTTCTTCCCTTATCATATTTGAACATAAACTGTTAATTATAATGAAAATAAATGATTTTGAATGTGATTGAATCAAAATATTTTCTATATCATCAGCAAAATAATGTATACATACCAGCATAAATAAAGATGCCTTAAAGATTCATGATTTTTTTTTTGGCTTAAGTTAAATATCACTTCAGTTTATTCATATAGTCCCCAATTCACAACACGTCACTTCAAAGCAGTTGAAAGAGTCAATGTAATAAAATCATACAGGTAGATTGGTTAGAAGGTTTCAAAGGATTTCTAGCCAATTGCATTGAGTCATTGACTTAAAAAGTTCACTCCCTCTGGATAAGCATGTAGTGATGGGACAGGCATTGTTTTGTTAACTTTGCAAGTAATGATACACTTAGTTCAATAGTATGAAGGACCAACTCTGCCATATTTAAAAATAAATACAGAAATAAATAAATGCTCAATAAATGTATAAGCATACAATTAATTGCCAACAAAAAAGTGAGACATAAATGTATATAACTCTTAATTAGCTTCTTTATTTATTTGCCTTTGTAATATTTACCTTATTTATTTTTCTGTCCTTTATAATCTTCAACTTTATTTTTTAATTACTTATATTTTTAAGTATTTATTTATGTGCATGTTATAATATTTTTGTCTGTTTTATTCTTCCTTTGTATTTTTTTACCTTAGTTATTTCTTCGCCGCTGTTTATTTCTCTCTGCCTACATTTCTCTCTGCCCTTTTTACATTTCTCTCTGCCCTTTTTACATTTCTCTATGCCCTTTTTACATTTCTCTCTGCCCTTTTTACATTTCTCTCTGCCCTTTTTACATTTCTCTATGCCCTTTTTACATTTCTCTATGCATTTCTGTCTCATTATGCAAATGAGGAGGGGGTGTGTCCTAGAGAGTCAACTTCTGCTCATTGGTTGGCTTGGCGGTCCATCTTCTTAACTCACAGAGCTCAGAGTACTAAGTTAAATGTTCTCTTTTCTGTTGCTGTTGTTCAATAAAAGTACGTTTTAAGATCATTTGAGGCGAGAACCTTATACTTTTAAGCATCACTATATGGCCCATTCACAGATTTAATGCGTAATTTAAAAGAAAATGTGACGAACTTGAGAGGACCGTGGCAACCAGCAAAGCTCCGAAGCTGACGGCAGCCAGGTCTAACCACAGCACATCTGCAGCGGCCCTCTCTCGGCATAACCGTGTGTGAGGCGTGTTGGTAAGCATTTTACTACATCGGTCGAATCTACAGGAGGAGAGTCTGATGTCGAGTCTGAAGTCATTAGAACTTGAGTAGGGACTTTGCCAAACTTTGCCAAATACAACAAAAAATCGCCATCATAGCCTGGCTATAGACCTGGCTGCCGTCAGCTTCGGAGCTCCGCTGGTTGCCACGGTCCTCTCAAGTTCGTCACATTTTCTTTTAAATTACGCATTAAATCTGTGAATGGGCCATATGGTGATGCTTAAAAGTATAAGGTTCTCGCCTCAAATGATCTTAAAACGTACTTTTATTGAACAACAGCAACAGAAAAGAGAACATTTAACTTAGTACTCTGAGCTCTGTGAGTTAAGGAGATGGACCGCCAAGCCAACCAATGAGCAGAAGTTGACTCTCTAGGACACACCCCCTCCTCATTTGCATAATGAGGCATAAATGCATAGAGAAATGTAAAAAGGGCAGAGAGAAATAAACAGCGGCGAAGAAATAACTAAGGTAAAAAAATACAAAGGAAGAATAAAACAGACAAAAATATTATAACATGCACATAAATAAATACTTAAAAATATAAGTAATTAAAAAATAAAGTTGAAGATTATAAAGGACAGAAAAATAAATAAGGTAAATATTACAAAGGCAAATAAATAAAGAAGCTAATTAAGAGTTATATACATTTATGTCTCACTTTTTTATTGGCAATTAATTGTATGCTTATACATTTAATGAGCATTTATTTATTTCTGTATTTATTTTTAAATATGGCAGAGTTGGTCCTTCATACAATAGGTGGCTCTATCTAGGAAAGAAAAAGTTAAGCAGGTGAGCTCTGAGCTGGGTTTCAGGTCAAAAGGATGAAAGATCACCTATGGTTAGCTGCAGTAAAAATTCAAAAAATGGCTGTATATTGCGGCCTAAAGGTTCCCAAAGTGAGAGCTTATAACAGCCAATCAGTGAACGCCTCATTTTCTGGCGGACCAATCACATCAGAATTTCAGCCTTAGTTTAGACCGGCGGTTTTCAAAGTGTGAGGCGCGCCTCCCCTAGGGGGCGCCAGAGCACCTTAGGGGAGGCGCGGTGAGAGGGAAAAAAATAAATATGGATTTAGGACCAAGTTGGAACTGTGGGGTGCGCGTGTGGAGCGGGGATCAGTGGAAATGTTTCCCATCTTAGAGGATGTTTTGGCCAGAGCGGGGCTGAAGGTGGAGTTTTTACAGCAGGCTGTCTGTGCGCATTTGGAGGGGATGCGCGAGCAGTTTGGAGAGTATTTTGGAGAGGAGACAATGGCAAACCAGTGGGAGAGAAACCCATTTTCCTTCCCTGTGACACTTAAAGATGGACTTTCAGCAGGAGAGGAAGAGGCTCTGGCTGAGCTGAGCTGTGACATGGACTTGAAACAGAGGATGAGTGACGTGTCACTTGCGCACTTTTGGCTGTCAGTAGGGACTGAATTTCCACAGCTCTCAATGAAGATCTGATCAAAATGTTTTTGTTAAGATGTGAAAACACTGTTGGTATCTCAAACATTAAACTCAGAATCTCAGATGTAACGTTTGTTTGAGAAAACAGTTGAAAAGTGAGTTTGGGGTGTTTCTTATCATTAGAAAAATGAAAAAAGGGCGTATTTGCCAAACAAAGGCCCCGACTGGATCTCTACTTTTTTTTTAGTTTATTTATTCATTCATTCCATTGAATACAAAAAAAAACAGCCTATCAAATTTTTGATATACTAAAAAATACACCTCCATCCATACATACCTACATATCCATCTGTATACATTACATACATATATACACACAGACATACTACATATGTATTTCAAAATTTTTTAAAACAAAATGAAATGAAAGGCAGCAGAAAGAAGAAACAAATCTTATAATATCTGCCCCTTTTTTCTCAGCTCTGAAACTAAACAGGGAAAAAAATGGTTATCTTCTGCAACAAAAACAAAGTCAGTCATCAATCTCAACTAAACAACGATAGTATGAGCTCACTTTATACTATTTCATACTTCTTCAAGAATCCAGTCTTTAACATTCTCTTAAACATGTGCAGTGATTTGGCATTTTTAACATCATTTTGTAGTTCATTCCACAGTTTGACTCCTTGTATCGAGGTACATCGTTCTTTCAAACTGGTTCTGAATTTGGGTTTCTTAAAAATTTGTGTCCCCTTAAGGTTATAACTGCTCTCTCTCTTTGCAAAGATTTTTTGGATGTTTGAGGGTAATGTATTTAGGTGTGCCTTATACATAACTAACAAAATATTATAATCAACTAAATCATAGAATTTTAATAACCTCAATTTACAAAACAATATATTGGATGGGTATTTGCCATGTTTTCGAGTAATAACTCTTATAGCCCTTTTTTGCAAAACAAAAACAGATTTTGTACTAGTATAACATGCCTTTCCCCATACCTCAACACAATAGACCAAGTGTGGAACAAATAATACATTATACAACATATACAGTGCATGATCGTTCAGAAAATCCCTTACTTTATAAAGCACTGCAATTGATTTGGCTATTTTTGTTCTTAAATAATTCAAGTGGGATTTCCATGTTAATCTCTCGTCACTAATCACACCCAAGAACTTCACCTCACTAACTCTACAAATCTCTACACCATCAACTTTAAATGGAATATTAACAGTTCTTTGTCTCCTTGTAAATAACATATAATTTGTTTTATCCAAATTTAAAGATAATTTATTAAGTTTAAACCATTTTTGTATTTGCATAAATTCTGTTTGCATTTTTTCTAACATCCATTCTATATCTGTACCTTGACAAAAAAAAAGTGGTATCATCCGCAAATAGGACACATTTGAAAAACTCTGACACATTTACCAAGTCATTAACATATAGGATGAACAACTTTGGTCCAAGTACTGAACCCTGTGGAACTCCACATGTAATTTCACAAAATTCGGATCTAGTATCATGTACTTGTACAAACTGTTTTCTTTTTTCCAAATAACTCGAGATCCACTGTAATGCCGTCCCTCTAATCCCGTATTTAATGAGTTTTTTGAGTAAAATGCTATGGTCAATCGTGTCGAATGCTTTCTTTAGATCAATGTAAATACTGGCACAATATTGTTTTTGATCAATTGCATTTGTTATTTGTTCTATCAGTTCCATAAGAGCCATTGATGTCGAGTTTTTGGCTCTAAATCCGTATTGACTGCTACTTAAAATATTATTTTTATCAATAAATGTATCTAATCTGATTACAAATAACTTCTCCAAAATTTTTGAGAACTGTGGTAACAACGATATCGGTCTGTAATTACTAAACATACATTTCTCACCGTTTTTGTAAATGGGAATTACCTTTGCAATTTTCATGGTGTCTGGAAATTTTCCTGATGAAAATGACAAATTACAGATATAGGTAAATGGTTTAATTACATAAGACATGATTTCCTTCACAAAGGTCTTGTCCATTTCTACCCAATCTTTTGATTTCTTATCCACAATTTTATTGACAATACTCTTTATTTCTTCCTCATCCGTTTTTTCAAGAAAGATGCTGTTTGAACAACTCCCAATTTTTTGAGTCACGTCGCTATCATCTTTTGGTATCTGAGCAGCAAGTCTTGGACCAACATTTACGTAATAATGATTTAATTTGTTTGCTATTTCATTCCGGTCATAAATTTCTGTATTTTCTTTTAAAAAGTGTTTTGAAATACCAGATTTTATTTCATGCTTTGTACAAACACGGTTTATAACTGCCCATGTTGCTTTTGTGTCACCATTACTTTTGGTTAATAGGTCACTATAATATTCTTTTTTATGTTTTCTTATAATCCATGTCAATTTGTTTTTGTATTTCTTATATCTATCCTCTGCTTCTTTTGTTTTTAACATCAAAAAGGATGAATACAAATTGTTCTTTTTT